CACTTGTGTTTTTGTGATTTTTTTTTTAATGTCAGTCTATCCCACTGGACAATGAGCTGCAGGAAGTCTGAGGTCAGCTCTCTTGCTTCTGGTGCTTGTACCTGGCATATTCTAGGACTTACAAATTGTTGAATAAATAAGTAATTAAATAATGAGAAAAGAAGCCATTGTGACATTTTTGCTTATCACTGCTAGACCCAAACAGTGCAAACAGAGGGACTTTTAATGGTGCAGTTTGCTCAAAATTTTAAAAACACGAGAAGACCATGACTCACTAATAAAGGACCTAAAATGCCTTCTCATCCCTAAAAAATTAAATAATGAGCAGTGTGAAAACAAAAGCCTCATGATTAACTAATTACTAATTAATTAAAACTAATGTACATATAAGACATTGAAAAGTTGCCAAAACATTTTCCCATCTTTTTCTTGTAGTTAGGAAAGACAAAGAGTTAATAACTCTAAAGTTGAAAACGGAAAAGGAAAAGAAAGAACTTTGAAAAATATTTTAAACCTTCTGCTGAACTCACCTATAGGCTAAATTTCAAAAGCATTAGTATAGAGTTTTCAAATTACATTTAAATAAGTAAAAAGTAATTTCAGCTTTATTTCGGCTTTATTTTTGAAATAATTTTGATGTTTTGTTTGACACAGTACTACATGTTTGCTGTGTTCATGAATTGTAGAGTCAGAGACAAAAAGAAACTCAACTGAGACATCATACTATGATGCTCTTTTTCCATTTCCAGTTTAAATGAAAAATGTTCCTACAGTTCTGTAGTATTTTTAATCATTGGAGGCCTTTCTAATATATTTACTTCCCATGAGTCAGTGATTTCATCAGCAAAGAGACAAAAAGGCACCAAATAGTATATGTGCTAGACCAAAACAAACATTTCACTTAAAAATAATATGTCTTATTTGACCACTGAATGATATATGTGGCCTGACTTCTCCCAATTAAAAGGAGCCAATTTTACTGGCGTGATAGGCATATGAAAGTCCTGAGATATATAGAACTTCTGGAGCCCTAGAGTCCAGAGGAAGACTGCAGGAAGAGAACTTGCCCACTCCCTCCATTGCAATTGCAAGAAAACCTGGAGAAAAGCTCACCTCCTCCTTACAGTTCACCCCTTCCTATTGCAACGTAACAGAAGAATTCTGGCAGTGTATACATATCAAACTGTTAACAGTGGTTGCCATTGGAACGTGGGAATGAAGAAAAATACATTTCTTTTTGTTATTTATTGAAAGAGCCTTTGCAATTAAAAAACAAATTACATAGTCACATTGCTGTGTTTTTGGTTTTCTCAACTGATTTAGCTTATGCAGTTTACTGTGTTTAACTTGATATTTTTGTTAAGACATTTTAATTTGGTTAAAATTATTAATATTAATTACATCTGAAGCTTGGGTTCTCTCTATTTAGCAGATCCTCTGAAGGCAGAAACTGGCATCATTGTTCCACATCCATTTCTGGGATTCAGTGTTCACATGGTTTTTACCTGAGTGTTCCTTGCTGATGCTTTTATGAAGTTTTTCTGGTGTTTGTTTGTTTTTCTGTATTATGTAGGATTTGGGGTTTTTTCCAGTAGGAGTATTGGTCTAGGCACCTAGTCAGCCATTCTGCTAGGAATGAATGTCTCATTGTTTTTGCACTGTAATATACACTTTGTATGTTACATAATTTCATAATTACATTAGAATAACAGTCAATAATGCTATTAGGACATTCACTAGACTAGCCCTCCTTTCACCAAACAGTAACCTTAGAGTGTTAGCATGCATTTTGTTTCATGAGGGTTTTGCAAAATGCACAGTAATACTTGCATTATGTTAAATTTATATTAAAATTAGGATGGTGTGAATCTGTGGTGTGGAACTGGGTGGGGCCATGACCACCCATTAAACTGTGTATTAGAGCAAATTCAAACTTTTTGAGTAGAATTTCAGCCCTCCTGCATGTGTGACTTTCTGTGTCACACTTGTTCAAGCTAAAGTTGGATGGTTTCACACACGTGCCCTTATTAGTAACCAAATTTTCTTAAGGCCACCTGTCTTGTCCTCAGTGCTGCCTTATCCTTTAACTGGCCTAAAATAACAAAAGAACAATAAAAACTGTTTTCCAGAACCTTGTCAGGAGGGTATAAACAAATCCATGTTCAGTTCAGTTCAGCCACTCAGTCATGTCCAACTCTTTGTGACCCCATGAACCTCAGCACACCAGGCCTCCCTGTCCATCACCAACTCCCGGGGTCCACCCAAACCCATGTCCATTGAGTCAGTGATGCCATCCAACCATCTCATCTTCTGTCATCCCCTTCTCCTCCTGCCCTCAGTCTTTCCCAGCATCAGGGTCTTTTCCCCTGAGTCAGCTCTTCGTATCAGGTGGCCAAAGTACTGGAGTTCCAGCTTCAGCATCAGTCCTTCTAATGAACACCCAGGACTGATCTCCTTTAGGATGGACTTGTTGGATCTCCTTGCTGTCCAAGGGACTCTCAAGAGTCTTCTCCAACACCACAGTTCAAAAGCATCAATTTTTCGGCGCTCAGCTTTCTTCACAGTCCAACTCTCACATCCATACAGGACTACTGGAAAAACCATAGCCTTGACTAGATGAACCTTTACTGGCAAGGTAATGTCTCTGCTTTTTAATATGCTGTCTAGGTTGGTCATAGCTTTCCTTCCAAGGAGTAAGTGTCTTTTAATTTCATGGCTGCAGTCACCATCTGCAGTGATTTTGGAGCCCCCAAAAATAAAGTCTGGCACTGTTTCCACTGTTTATAAATTTTCCATGAAGTGATGGGACCGGTTGCCGTGATCTTAGTTTTCTGAATGTTGAGCTTTAAGCCAACTTTTTCACTCTCCTCTTTCACTTTCATCAAGAGGCTCTTTAGTTCTTCTTCACTTTCTGCCATAAGGGTGGTGTCATCTGCATATCTGAGGTTATTGATATTTCTCCCTGCATTCTTGATTCCAGCTTGTGCTTCATCCAGCCGAGCGTTTCTCATGATGTACTCTGCATATAAGTTAAATAAACAGGGTGACAATATACAGCCTTGACGTACTCCTTTTCCTATCATCTTTAAAAAAAATTCTAAAAGAAACCATTTTTTATGGTTTGTATTTAATTCATTGTACTGAAAAAAAATCTAAATCTCAAATGAAGTTAAGAGAGCTGGTACCTGGATTAAATGACCTTCCCATAGAAGGATTCTGCTAAACCACCGTTTGGTGTAATGCTGACTCATGAGGAAGAACCCATGAAGCAACATCTCTGTGTTTCCTTAAGGAATGTTGAGGATGCTCTTCATTACCTAAGTATAGGATTAGGTAATGTGAATTCCTATGGATGAATTTCCTTCTGAAATTTCCAAGAGAAATTTGAATGTAGACACTATGAATTCAGGGCCTGGTCATGTCTCCTATTCTGCTTTGACTGCTGCAAGGCTTAGCATCTCAAGGTCCTCACTGTCAAGTATATACAACTTCATGAATATATATTTTTGTTTACCAGTCTCGTTACAGGTTTGAATTGACTTTTATACCCTTACTTTTCCTTTAACTTATATATTTTTTGCTGTATTAAGTGCATATTTTCAAAACCATTGTTAACATTTTTTGGAACAAAGTGGTTATGTACAAAATCATTTGATTATTGCCTCAAATAATGCAAATCAGTGAATAACCATGTTTCAGGAATGAAATGATACAATTATATATTTACTTTTGCTTATAAACATTATCAAGATCTAGAAAATTAGATTTCAGTACAATTCTGTCTCTAGATCCAAATGAACAAATATGGAAAAACAGCAGAGACCACGTTTATAGTTTCTGAGAAAGACTGCAGCCTGTACCCTCATTTGTTTGGACAAGAAATTTTTCAAAAGTAAAATCACTCTCCTTAAATATTGTGTAGATTTCAGTGTTCTGATCAATGGGCTGTTTATTCATTGTCTCTGTGGTACCCCACAGTGGATTATCCATAGCAACAGTCCTTTTCAAACTTAATAAGACCAACTCTGTATTTATTAGGGAAATAATAACCACCGGGTTAAACAAACTGACTGTTAGTTCTGTGTATTTACTCTCTTTCAAAGAGATATGCTAAACCTTCAGCGTGTCCCATGTTGTAGATGATTAGGCAAGCTGAATTGGTAGGCCTCTGTGATTCTGAATATGCCATTTTTGTGGTGTGTGTAGAGTCAAATAATAAAGATGATGAGCAAATAAAGCTTCAGACATAAAGTACTATTTTGTGCATTGAGAACAGGACAAAATTCTTCTCTGTATAGTAGAAATCAGAGATATATTATGATAAATATTACCACTCCCAGTCTATAGAGGATAAATAGAATATTTAATTTTGGCTGAGGAAAACATATTTCAGTTTTTCTTGCCTCTAGAAATTACATTGATGTGGAATCTATAAGAAAGGCCCTGCCTCAGAAAAAAGATAATTTCAGAATTACAGAGATTTTCATAAGAGAACATATTATTTTTAAAGACTTTAAATTGCTGTTGAAATGTAAATTAAACCTACAGTCTGTTCATGTCACGTGTTGAGAAATGAAGTAGTATTTAAAAACACAAAATGTTAAGAGTTCATGTAATCCAATATCCTTATTTTACAGCCATGAATAATGCTTTTAGAATTGCTAAAAAAAGCCTAGTGTCTTTCATCTCAAATGTCCTTGGACAATATTTTTAAAAAATGAACTATAACTTCTGTCCTATAAAGTATACTAATGGGAATACAATAAACTTCTACAGGAGTGCATTGATTAATAATTCCATTTGGTTTTTGTCTTTTTATATACAGTAGAAAACACTTTTTTCTTTATTAGATTTTTACGTAGATTAGTAGTGGGGCTCTGCATTTATGAATTGGTTGAGCCTGTTTGATAAAATCTTTGCTATGTTTAATATCTGTTTTTTCTTAAAAGTTTTTTTGTAGTTTTAATATTTAAATTATTTATTTTTCTTTATATTCACAGATTCTGGAACTTTTCAAAGCCTGACCCTCTTCTTGAAACAGTGGAACATCATACAGAATTTACTTGTGGTTTAGATTTAAGTCTTCAGAGTCCTACTCAGGTAATGGATCAATCTCCTCATATTTTTTCCTACCCATACAGTTTACAAATAGCTCTACGTGTGGCATGCATTGCTTTTATGAACAAAATTCTTGCCTTTAGGGCAAGGTAAAGTACATTTACTTAAGAAACCTGACCTTTTTCGCTGTGTAAACTTGAGCATTTGAAATACTAGGGAAGAAGAGGTATCCAGAAACTTGACATACTTTTTTCCTCTTGAAGGGTTAACTTTCCTGAGAGGAAAAGGAAACTTCTCCCAAACTATTGTGCCTAACTTGTAGACCTCCTCCAATGGAAAGAAAGGGCTAACAGGAGAAGAGTGGAGTGAGGAAGGATCGACCCCAGAGGTTGATGGAAGTCAAGAGTGTGTGGCCCTGGCTTCAGCTGTCCGCTAAGCAGTCCAGATTACGGGCCTGTCATTTCCCTCTCAGGACGGTCACCCTCTCTCCTCAGGCCATGTCAGAAGAGAGGCTCCACATGGGGAGCAAAGTAGAGGAGAATGGCTACTGTTTTAGTTACCAAACTTCATCTTTCCCACTTTTTGTTCTCTTGAGGACTTTTTTGAATTTTAAATATTCTTCAGATTTTTTAATAAAGTAGTTTCAGTTTTGGAAAGTGTAAACTCAGATCAGAAACACTTGACTATCTTGACTGACAAGATACTTTAATAATGCAGGCTATGTGAAAATGCCATCATATTACTGAAACAAAATAATATGTGGAAATTCTACTGTATGACTAAGAAGTTATGCATTTATGATAACTTTTAGAAGTTAAACACAAAGCAAATTCTGTTTCTCATTACTGTGTTCTTAAATTTAAATGAATGCATGGGTTTCTTTTTGTTTTAGAAATTCAGGACATAATTCTAAGTTTAAAATAGTCCCATTATACGTTAAAATATTCTCATTAGCATTAGAATAATTGTTTGAAAATTACTTAGTAGCATCTAAGAAGAGAAGAAATTGAAATAATGATGAGTGAAATGGTATGATCCTTAATGTAAATACAATGTGCCTTAAATATATTAGTTCCTTTTCTGAGAAAAACATTTATCATAGAAGCTATTTTTAATAAAATAATTATACATGTTTGCTATTCCAGTTTATAAAAATGTTGTAATGTGCCTATTGAAGCATGACAATACCCCAAAAGGGACCCTAAATTAGATATTTTCCTTCTCCTCTATTTCTGTTGACCCATCTCTACAATCCCCAGTCTGTGGCCTGAGGCAGTAGATGTGCATCTATGATGCATGGCATCTCCTCATCCAGGTCTTGGAGAGTGCCAAATGTCAAATTGGTGTTTTCACTTTCTTCAGATAAATACCGAGAAGTGTAATTCCTGCATCATATAGTAGTTCTATTTTTAATTTTTTGAGGGATCTTCATTTTTTCCCCCATCGTGGCTGTACCAATTTGCATTCCCTCCAACAGTGTATAAAGGCTCACTCTTCTCCACATCCTCGCCACCACTTACTATTTCTTGTCTTTTTGTTAAGAGCCGTTCTCACAGGTGTGAAGGGATGCCTCATTGTGGTTTTGATCAGCATTGCCCTGCTAAATAGTGACCTTGAGCACGATTTCATGTATTATAGCTATTGGCCATCTGTATGGCTTCTTTGGAAAAATATCTATTCACTTCCTCTGACCATTTTTTAATCAGATTATTTGTTTTGGGTGCTAAGTTATACGAGTTCTTTACATATTTTGGATAGTAACCTCTTATCAGATATATGGCTTGCAAACATAGTCTCCCGCTCAGTAGGCTATCTTTTCTTCTTTTTTGATACTTTCCTTCACTGGGCAACATCTTTAGTCTGAGGTAGTCCCACTTGATTTTTTTTCACTTTTATTGCCTTTGCTTTTGGAGTTAGAGCCAAAAAATTACTACTAGGACCAGTGTCAAGGAGCTTACTGCCTATATTTTCTTCTAGGAGTTTTATAGTTTCAGATCTTACATTCAAATCTTTAATCCGTTTTCATTTTTGTTTATGGTGTAAGATAGTGGTCCAGTTTCATTCTTACTGCACGTGGCTATCCTGTGATTTGTGTTTTAAAAGCTCGTTCTGGCTATTGTGGGAGAACAAACCATAGGTATGACTAGAAATGTAAAGATGGAAAGATTCAGAATACATTTCTAAATGTTTCATATGATTTAACATTTTCAGTGATTAGTTTATACTTTTCTTCTCCCTGTAAATTTATCTTTTTCCCTTTATTTTATTTATATTCTGTCTTGGACTTTACACTTTCCTTTCAAACTAAGTTTTTTTAAAACCAGCATTTTTTTTAAAAGAGCATATCTAAAATCATCACATTTTAATGCAAGCATTTGTTTTATTTATATTATTAATGTATAGTTTTACCAAGTAACATTAAACTCCTTCCTAGGGGGAATAAGCATCAAGTTCTTAGTTCACCTCCCTGTCTTCCTCTCACTTATCTTATCTCAGTTATCTTTTGCTAACAAAACAATAAAAAAAAACAACAAAAGATAAAAAAAGTTCTCTTTTGTAACAAACTCCCTTACAACCTAGTAGTTTAAACAACAATTTTCTTTGCTTACAATTAATTCTGTGATTCAACAATTTACACCAAACTCAGCCAAGTAGTTCCTTTATTGATCTCACCTGGGGTCACTCATGTGACTGCAGTCATCTAGTGACTTAACCAGGGCTATGTGATCTAAGATGGCTGCACACAAATGCATAGAGTATAGCACTGGTTTTCTTCTGAGCCATGTGTCTCCAGATGAGTCCAGGCTTCTTTACCTGGCAGTTGTAGATTTCCAGGAGGATGATAGCGAGGTGTCTTCAGGACTAGACCTCAGAGTCACACAACGTTCCTTCTGTTGCAAAGCAAGTTAAAAGGCCAGGTCAGATTCAGAGTGACAAAGGGACTCCACCTCTTGTTGGGAGTAGGTGCAAAGAATTTGTAACCATTCTAAATCTACCACATTAACCTTTTGTTGGTAGTTGAAGTTATTTTTAGCATGTATTTATCCTTTATTCTCATATATATGTATTTGAGATTACTGATTGCATGTTAATTTAATCTCAGTCTTTGTTCATAGTTTATTCTATTAGAAAGTAGTTTTCTCTCACCTCTTAGAGAATACTTTTCAATCTTCTTTCAAAAACTTGTCATCTCTTGTGTTGATTCTAATAGCTACGAGACTTTGCTGACATACTTTTGGATTTCCATGCTTTAATATATTCCCTGTCTTAAAAGAGATTTTTCTTGTATTTATAATTTTCTTTTTAGCTTCTCCCTTCTTAGAGATCTGAAAAATGAGATCCAAAGAGATTCTTGTGTTATAACCTCCTTTCCTTTTGACTGAGTGTAAGGTCTTGTCTTTAAAAGTTTAAAACTTGACAAATAAGTGTCTAGGGTCATTCTTGAAGGATAATTGCTAAGAAATACTCCGTGCCTCTTGTTAACCAGACTGAAATCATCTTTCACTTCAGAACATTTTTCTTTGAATTTTTTCCCTCTGATCTTGATTTGTATAGTCCTGGCATTTTCTCTTTTCTCTCTTACCCTTATTATTTCTAAATTGGAAACCTTTTTTTCTGTCTTTAGGCTTATGATTCTAGACCTGTAATATATGTCCATTGGTATAATTGGAATTTTCTCTATTAATGTATTTTCAGAATCCCTGACTTTGTCTCTTCAGTATCAGTTCTGCTCATTGATATTTAGTTTAGTATTTATAAGCTGGGTATAGGTTTATGTATCATTATGCATTTGGAAGATAGTTATTTTTCTTTTAAAAAGCAGACATTACTAGTTCATTCCAAGATACCTCATCTGTGTGTTTAATAAATATATCTTTTTTCCTTTATGAAATTGAGAAATTATATTTAGAAGAAAGTATAAAGATTATCCATGGTTTTGCCACTCTAGAAAGAATTTGTATTATACCTTATTAACTTGCTTCTTTTCAGCCTTTTTCTAGGAATTTTTATTTGAAGTGTAATACATACATTGGAAAACACACGTATTTTGTGTGTAATTCAGTAAGTTACCAAGTAACTACACTTGTGTAACAACCATTTAGGTTAAGTATGGATCACACTACCAGCATCCCAGAAAGCCTAGTCGTGCTTCCTTCCAAATCTCACCCCCTCTCTCCTTCCCAAAGGGAAATACTCTTCCGGTCATTTTGTGTACATGTTCTTCATTGTTGTGATTGTATCACATGTATGCATTACCAGTACTTGGTAATCATAATCTTTTAATGAATGAATTTCCTAATCTATCCATGATAGGAACGTGTAGGTACTATAAAGTATGAAAGTGAAAGTGATAGTTGCTCAGATGTGTCCCGCTCTTTGTGACCCCAGAGACTGTAGCCCACCAGTCTCTGTCTGTGGGATTGCAGGCAGATTCTTTTTGAACCACCAGGGAAGCAAGGTTTTTCCCTAAAATAAAGCAGAAGAAATTTTGTGTATTTTCATTTGGTGTCAGTGAAAGATGCTTAGATTTGGTTCTTTCTGTGTGTGTGTATAAGATATATATATATATATATATATATATATATATATATATATATATATATAATCATTATGCTGTATACCTAAAACTGATGTTAACATGTCAGTTCTATCTCAGTTAAAATAAAATAATAAAGAAACAACAGAAATACTGGGCTATCATTAAAACATTCAGCTCATGTTTCGATTGAGATCCCAAGTTTAAAGGTTGACAGTAGATAAAATATTTTAAAATTCTCAGTATGAGATTGGAGAATCAGATTTTAGAAGACAGCTCGCATTAGTGGTAGATGGGGTGTACATGTCCTGTTCGGCTTTAGCCTGAGGTAGTATTTTGCGCTTCAGTCATAGACTGGCTCTAGAGTTGAAAAGAGCAGGTGCCAGAAGCACGCAGTGTTCTCAGGCATTGGGCTCTGTTGTTGCCTCTTTAAGGCTTTCATAATTGTGAAACATTTAGCTTAAAATTGTGTAACAAGTGCTTGTTTTCCCCCAGCCACAAAACC